AAAAAAGAAAACTCTGGGCACAGATTAACTCTAGTGAATCCTAACAAACATTTAAGAAAAAGTAATACTAGGATTACACAACTTTTTCATAAAATTGTTGCTGCTGGGTACCATCAATTGAACTATGACTCATAATAACCTATGAAAAACAGATCTGAACTTTACCCTATCCTCCGATATGCTCAAGCCCACTGTTTCTGTCACTGTGTCCATCTACCTTGTTGAGGGTCTTCCTCTCTTTCTCTGACTCTCCGCCTTTCCCAGCATGATGTCCTTTTCCAAGGATGCTCCTCCAGGCAACATGCCCAAAGCATGTGAGATAAAGCAGCCTAGGAACACTCCCTCCAAGACAGACTGTCTGTTCTGTGGGGCAATCCATGGGATAGTCCATACTTGTCACCAACACCACAACTGAAAGCTAATGCTCTGGTCAGCCTTACTCACTGTTCCACTGTCAGATCCATGTAACTAGCAACTGAAGCAACAGAAAATAGAAAGGCTTGGATTGGGTATACCTTAGTTTTTTTATAAGTTCCTGACAGATTTTTGCCCACCACATCTTTTTTTTAAATTATTTCTTTTTTAATTTTATTACTGTGTGTGCGTGTACCGTCAAATTGGATCTGACTGGTACAGGAGGACATTGTCCCTCTTTCTCCAGCAGAGCATGTGGTGGATTCGAACAGTATACCTCTGGAATTGCAGTATAGCTTCCTACCACTAGGCCACCAGAACTACCTTACAACACAACTTTTGATTTCTCGCCTGTTGTTACAATGAGTATCGATATTAAATCCAAGTAAGAAGACATTGTTGACAATATCAATCATTTCTCTAACTATTATGATGTTGTCTACATCATAAGACTTTTGTTTTGGGGTCTGTAAAGAACATTCTAAATGGCTGTTTATTGTGTGGAAATAAATACTCCAGATACAGAAAATCCCCCACAAAGGCTCAGTCAAAGGGAGAATGTGATCTTTTCAGGAAAGAGTAAGATGTTCAATAAGAAAAGTCAGGCCAGGATCATACAAGGCTCTGTGATGAACCACTGAATTCACAAGAAGGAACATAATATGATCAGGTTCATATTTCAGAATAAAAACCTGACATTATCTTACTTACTCATTATCCTCTTCGGTTTGTCTTGCTCTTTTTACTAAATGTTCATCTTCTAGTTCTTTTAGGTCCTTCAGTTCTTTCTCAGCACTAATTACATTAAATACTGAAACAAAACAAAAAAAAATGTGCCATGATCTAAAACAATTCTTTCCACAAAAGTATTAATAAATTGGCCCTAAAGCCTCAAGACTCACCTTTTTCTACCTGAATCCTAAAAGCATTTTTTTTCCTTCGACCATAATCTATCCTGAAGAAAAAAATATGACATTTAGTACAGTATTCTCTACCAATTTTTTCCACTAAAATTATCACATAAATTCACTGATTAATGAAGTGTGCCACTGGATCCACAGTAATGGTGAACCTAATTCCAGTTAACCTGCAAAATGTGCACACACACTGAAAGGAGACACGAAGTTTCTAAATAAAGGAGGGAGCCTAGTGATGTGGTCCCCAGAGCACTGCTCTGCTAATGCAACCAAAGACTCAAGCAGCTCAAATTCACCAGTGACTGCTCAGAAAAAAGATGGGCAATCTCCTCCCATGTGATTTACAGACTCAGAAAAGCTGAATGAGTCCATTCCAACTCGACATCACACAACAAATAGGAGATAATAAAGGAAAGATCACCTATCTACTCTTTATATAGGGCCACTAATTACTAGCACTTTCCCTATTTGCTTTACTTTTCTTTACATACTGAATACAGATTACTCTGTTTTTGCAAAACCATTTGAAATTAGGTGCAGAACTTAACTCCTAAATATTCAGAATATATCTCTGAACAAGAATATCTATATAACATACCAGTGGCATATACAAGAGCTACAACAGCAATAAAATATTATTTAATGATGTTGTTGTTGTGCCATTGACTTGGAACCAATTTATAGCTGACCTTCCAGCAGATTTTCAGAGACTGTAAACTGCAGGGGAGGAAACAGACTATCTTTCTTCCATGAAGCAGCTGGTGGATTCGAACCACTTGCCTTTGGGATAGAAGTGTAGTTCTTACCACCAGGCCACCAGAGTTCCCAATGTAATACATAGTGTATATTAAGATTTTCCAACTTTTCTTACAAAATATATTTTGTAGCTTTTTGCTCTTTAATCCAGGTCAGTTGAGGCTCCTGCAATGCATCTGGCTGTCCATATCTTTATTATTATTAGTGTTAGTATTTTTTTTGTGTGTGTACCATAAAATCAGATCTGACTGGTACGGGAGGAGATTGACCCTCCTTCTCCAGCAGAGCATCTGGTGGATTCAAACAGCATGCCTCTGGGATTGCAGTGCAGCTTCTTGCCATTAGGCCACCAGAGCTCCCATGTCCTTATCTTTTTAAATTAAAAACTCATTGCTGTCGAGTAAGAACAGTCCTCAAGCTAATCCGTTCAGTAGGTTTCTATGACGGTGTAAATCACAAGAGTGGAAGCTGCCCACCTTTCTTGTGTGCAACCACTGGTGGACTCAAATGACCAAGGAGCACCACTGTGGGGTTAGTAGTGCAACGCTTTACGGACCACACCAGAGCAGCCTCCTAGACCTTATCATGTATGTGGGCATGTGTGACAGTTTTTAAAGTCTCATTCACTCACTGCCATTGAGTCAGAATCCACCCACCAGCAGATTTCCAAAGTTGTAAATCACTAGGAGGAGACTGCCCATCTTTCTCCACAGAGAAGCTTCTTGTTGGTATGTAACACTGAGTCAGAACCCACCCACAGCTGGCCCGCCACTGGGCCTTCAGAGGCAGTAAACTGCAGGGAAGGACTGTTCATCTTTTTCCCATGGAGCAGCTGGCTGATTCAAACTGCATACCTCAAGATGGCAGCTCAACTCATTATCACTCATGGAGTGGCTAGTGGATTAGAAGTGTCAGTGAGGTGGGGCCTTTGGTTATAGAACACCTCCTTACTACTAAGCCACCACTTTAGAGTCTAAATTGGCAAATTTGTAAAATGTCCAACATGGATCTTACTTATGTTTCTTCATTATTAAATTCAAATTGAAGGCTTTGGATAAGGACACAAGCTGAATATAGTGAATGAAAACTTCTGAAGAATATTTACAGTCTCAAAATATCTCTGTACAAGTTATTTATTAACATCAAATTAATTTAAACTGGATTAATCTAATAAATATCATCTTAAAATATAAAATTAACATCAACTAGTATCCAACAAACAGACATTATGAGTCTGCTGAGGTCACATCTCTCCTGTAGCCTTTCTATGCAAAACACATCACCTGATTCCAACCAAAAGGAAGTATTAGGAAAACCCAAATTGAAGGACATTTTAAAAATCCCAGTAATCTTTAAAAATGTGAAGACCATTTTAAAAAAAGAGAGAAAGGTTATAAACCTATTCTAGATTAAAGGAGACTGAAGACATAACCTAGTGCAATGTGCATCCCAGACCAGACTTCAGCAGGGGGCGTGGAGGGGGTAGAGGAAATAGCTATAAAGGACAAGTGAAATTCAAGGGAGCTCCATTAGTGAAAAGGGCACTGAGCTTCTAACTCATAGGGGCCACCAATCAGCCAGTTCAAATCCTGCAAGCTGCTCAAAGGAAGAAAGAAGAATAGGCAAACTCCTCCCATGTGATTTACAGCCTCAGAAAACCCACTGGAGGGTCAGCTATGAGTTGGTTCCAACTCAACAGCACTTGGTTTTGAGGTGAAATTTCAACATCAACAGAAGATTTAATAACATCTGTATCAATGCACAATCTCTGGTTTTAATAAATGAAATGTTATTATATAAGAGAGTTTCTCATTCTTAGAAATAGATACCAAGGTTCAGCATAATAGGAGTTTGATAAATGTTTACAGAATTGAATTGAGTTGCAATGTACAGACCTGATGCTAGCTAGAAATAATGACAATTAGAAATTTGAGCAGAACAGAAATTTTAAAAACACAAGGGGGAAAAGCAATGATCTACATTTCTTTACCTGTATAGTCTTTGCAGATCAGATGCCAAGAATCCAGTGTCTACATACTTGCCACATCTGTTACTGGTGAGATACTATAAGAAAAGATATGATAAATGAGAAATACACAGTGTATTTATTCAACAAATAAATCAAGCTACTAATACTTCAATGTAAACTTTTCACCAATGAAGTATATCAGGAACATAAGTGAAAATCACCACCAATAATTGTCCAGTGTGCAATCAGAACCTCATACTGTTTGTTACACAGGACAGCATAACAGTGACTAGAAGAGCAGTTATATAGTGAAGGTTTACTATACAGCCGGAAGACACTGCTCCACATGAACAAACTCAGGTCACCAGAGAGATTCTAACTGGAAGAAAGCAGTGAGAGCTGACATCTGTCAGTCCCTGCTAAAACTACCAGCTAGAGGCAATTAATGGCTACAACAGGAAGTCATCTTTAGTTCCTTTTGATGATTTAACTTTTGCAAAATTGAGTTTGGGGTAGCTGCTGTGATCAGAAGCTAATACAATGCAAAAAGCAACGTTGGGCTGGAAATTAGAGGGGCTCTGTCAACCTGATTCCGAAGTAACTATAGTTATTTAAAAGGGAAATATATTAAGTTTTTTCAACTTTTGTATGGCTGTTTTGTGGAAGAAAAATGGGCAATCTCCTCCTCTGCTGTTTACTGCCTTTGAAAATCTACTATGGGTTGACTCTGACTTGCTGGTACACAAGAAGTACTTAATACTTAAGATCTATTAAATATTTCTTCTGGTCTTCTTGGTGGTAGGAAATTTTGTTAGTCTAGTGGGTAAAGAGCTGCACTGTCAACCCAAAGGCAGGCAGTTTGAATCCACAAGCTGATCTGTGGGAGAAAAATGGGAAATCTCCTCCTCCCCACGCAACTGGTAGCCTTTGGAAACCTAGAGGGTCAACTCCACACCACATAACAGTTGGTGGTGGTGTAGTAGGCATCCCTGAGTCAACCAAGACTCAGTTACCCTAAGGTACACATCAGAACTTTGTCCTGGGTCTCCCTCATGGTATCTAGCATGCTTGAGCCCATTGTTACAGTCACTGTGCCAATACATCTTGCTGATGGTTTTCTACTCTTCTGCTGACCTTCTGTCTCTCCCAGCACGATGTCATTTTCAAAGGTCCCTCTTAACATATACAAAGTATATGAGACAAAGCTTCTCCATCTTTGTCCCTAAGGAGCACCCTGGTTGTACTTCCTCCAAGGTAGATGTATTCTTTTAGCAGTCCTTGATCTTCACAATTCAAAGGCATCGATTCCTTTGTCATCTTTATTCACTGTCCAATTGTAACGGCATAGGAAGTAACTATAAAATACAGGAGGATTAAGTGAACCTTAGTCTTTAAACTTGAAGCACTTATTGCAAAAGATCAAGGGATGTGGCGTTCAGTATCTCAGTGTCAAGAAAACAAAGATTCTTAACACTGGAACAATAGACAACATCATGATGAATGGAGGGGAGATTGAAACTATAAACAGCTTCACCTTGTTGGATCCACAACAAACACCCATGGTACCTGCGGTTAGGAAATAAGAAAATGCACTGTACTGGGAAAATCTTCACTTAGGAACCTCTCCAAATTATTGAGGAGGAATGATATCAGTTTGAGCACTAAGGTGCATCTGATTCATGCCACTGTCTTTCTGATCACTTGCTATGCATCTGAGAGCTGGACAACGAAAAATGATGACAGAAAAAGAACTGACACCTTTGAGCTGCAGTGTTGGGGAAGAGCAGTGAACATCCCATGGACGGCCAAGAGAACAAACAAATATGAGTGCTCTTTGAAGGTAAGAATGATGAGGCTTTGCCTCACATACTTCAAGCACCTTGCTAGGAGGCTATTCCTTGGAGAGGGACATGAAAGGGTGGCGGGTTGGTGAAGAAGAGGAGACCCTCAACCAGATGGACTGACATGGTGACTAATGCAATGGGCTCATGGATTAGAAGTGTGAGGATGGCGCAGGATAGAACAGGATTCAGATCTTGAGTTCATAGGGTAGCGAAGGGTCATACTCGACTCTATGGTACCTAACAACAAGTCTTTAAACTGATGGGCTTGCTCTTTGGCACTTTGGAGAGTTCCTTGACAACACATTTTTCCCCAACATACCCTATGATATTCTGACTGCTGCTATGGGTGTTGTGGATCCAAGTAAAGGTAAGTTGTTGACAACCTCCATCTTCTCTCCATCTATGATACTGCCTACCGATCCAATGTCGAAGAGTTTTGTTTTCTTAATGTTGAGATAGTCTTTGATCTACTGTAGCCGAGTGTATCAAGTCCTCCTCCCTTTTTGCAAGCAAAGACGTGTCATCTGCATAATGCAGGTTGTTGATGGGTCCTCCTCCAATCTTGATGCCAATTCTCTTCATGTAGTAGTTTCTCAAACAACTTGCTCAGCATACAGACTGAAAGTTATGGAGAAAGGATACAACCTTGAAGCACACCTTTCCTGATTTGAAACCATGCAGTGTCCCCTTGTTTTATTCACAGATGCACTCATCTAGGAGCTTTTTACACAGTTGTTGTTGTTATGTACTGTTGAGTCGTTTTCGACTCATAGCGACCCTATGCACAACACCCCTAAACCCTGCTCTATCCTGCGCCAACCGCACTGCCTCTGACACACCCATCCCGATTACCCCAGTCACCGAATCAATCCATCTCATAGAGAGTCTTCCCCTCCTGCGCTGTCCCTCCACCCTCCCAAGCATGATGTCCCTCTCCAAGGACCCGTCCCTCCTGGCAACATGTCCAAAGTATGTCAGATGAAGCCCCAGAATCTTTGCCTCCAAGGAGTAGCTTGGTTTAATCCTTTCCAAGATCAATCTGTTTGTTTTCCGGGCAGTCCATGGTACATTCAGTACTCTTCTCCAGCACCACAGCTCAAAAGCATCCACTCTCCTTCTGTCCTCCCTAGTCATTGTCCAACTCTCTGATGCATAACAAGTGATTGCAAATACCATGGCCTGTATCAGGCGCACCTTAGTCTCCAGAGAGACACCATTGTTCCTGAGTACTTTAGAGAGGCCCCTAACAGCAGACTTTCCCATCGCAATACGCTTTTTGATTTCCTGACTGCTGGTGCCAAGAGTGTTGACTGTGGAGCCAAGCAAACTGAAGCTGTGAACAATCTCAATCTCTTCGCCATCCATCCTGATGCTGCCAATTGGTCCAGTGGTGAGAATCTTTGTCTTCTTGACATTGAGCCTCAGTCCATACTGAAGGCTGCAGTCCTTGACCCTTCGCAGCAAGTGCATGAGGTCCTTCTCAGTTTCAGCAAGCAGGGTTGTATCATCTGCATAATGCAGATTGTTAATAGATCTTCCACCAATCCTGATGCCACAATTCTCCTCATAGAGCCCAGCTCCTCGGATAATCTGCTCTGCATACATGTTGAAAAGGTATGGAGACAGGATGCATCCCTGGCATACACCCTTCCCAATTTTGAACCATGCAGTGTTACCCTGCTCTGTTCTGACTACTGCCTCTTGGTCCAAGTATAGGTTTCGCGTTAGCACAATTAAATGTTCTGGGATTCCCATTCTTCTCAGAGTCAGCCACAGTTTGTTATGATCCACACAGTCAAATGCCTTTGCATAATCAATGAAACACAGATAGACATTCTTCTGGTATTCTCTGCTTTCAGCCAAGATCCATCTAACATCAGCAACAATATCCCTAGTACCACGACCCCTTCTAAACCCAGCCTGGACTTCCTGCAGTTCTCTGCTGATGTGCTATTTTACACAGTATGTTTTATAATCTTAACAATTCTGTAGATGAGAAAATGTAAGTGAGGCTAAAAAAAGAGGTTAATAACTTGCCTGGTAAGTATAACATAAGCTGCAGTACCAGAATTTAAACGTGGACTAAGTATCAACTTCTGTTTCAATATGTCCAGTCTAATGTCCCATCCTACAAAGCAATTTCTTCTCAAATATTCTCAGCACAAGGCAACTGCATAAATAAACAAGTCTCTGCATAAATACTACCAATGACCAGAAAATCCATATGCAAAGCTAGGCTATTCCAGTTAGCTTCCTTTGCTCTGACAGCTACAACGTGCTCTCATTCACTATATTTAACCTTAAATTCTATTTATTCATACTAATATTTATTTGTGTGGTTAGAAACTGTATTGCAATCCCAAAGGCAAATGGTCTGAATTCACAATCTGCTTCGCAGGAGGAAGACGAGCAAACTGCCTCTGAAGACCTGCTGGAGAGTCAGCTAGTTTTCAGACTCAATGGCATACAACATACCCACTGATATGTTAATCTGTGTTTATGGGCTAAGCAAAGGCATTCGACTGTGTAAAATCAAAACAAATTACGGGTATGATTGTGAAGAATGGAAAGTTCAGAAGCTGTGCATGCCCCAAGAGCCAGTCATTCAAACATGTTTACATGGCAAGGCTTCAAATTAGGAGAGATCTCACCATACTTATTCAATCTGTATGCTGAACTGAGAAACAATGTGGCATTAGGATTTGAGGAAGAATCATTAACAGCATATGACAGGCAGACCTGAAGCACTTATTGATGAAGCTGAGAGATGAGATTAAACTTCAGTGGCATCTCAGAGCTGAAAGCCTGGGGTTTCAAATAGGCCTTGAGGAGACTGGCAGTCTCTGCTTCTGAACATTCAAGGCCTTGTAAACCCTCTGGAGAAGTTCTGGGGAGGGGGTACGAGTTGGAAAAAGCTTGATGACAATAAACAACATAGGATTAGATGGCTACAAAAAAAGGAAAGTGTGAGCGGGCAGTGAGCGATAGAAGAAATGGCCCAGAGTATTGCATCCAGTTCGACTGCCTGAAGAATATTTCTAGCCTCAAGGCAGGAAAGGTGCAACTATATCCGTTAAATCATATTTTTTCCATGCTGAGCTCTAAGCCCACCTGGCTGAAACTTACCATCTTCAGGCTCTTCCTTCAGACTTCTTCGCCCAGCAGTGAGGAGGGAAAGCCCTTAACCTCTAGCAAAGGAATCACATTATTAGCAAAGCCTCTGCTAAACCCTGAATAAAACAGATGGTGGCTCAGTGGTAAGGCATACGCGCTGGCAAGGCAGAGAGGCACATGGTTCGAATCCACCAGCTGCATCACCGGAAAAAGATGGGACGCCTGTTGCTGTATGATTTATCGCCTCTGAAAAGCTGCTGAGGGTCAGCGATGGGTCGGCTCTGACTTAACGAAACACAACAACACGGAAACGTCACACACACACAACCCCCATAAAAGGGCCACTGGCACCCAGGCCAGGGTACCTGGGTACCGTCAAATCAGAGTCAGGCAGTAAAACGCACCAGTGGAGCTTGCCCACCTTTCTCAGACCCACTGGATTCGAACCGCAGGGCAATTCCTTCCCATCAAGCTGCAATGAATGCTCACCTGGATAACTCGTTGCTTCAGCTTATTATCTACGAACGCTGCACTTCCCGGCTTCATCACGTCAGTCCCGATGCCACTGCTCCAGCCCCGGAACCACGTCAGTCCCGATGCCACTGCTCCAGCCCCGGAATCACGTCAGTCCCGATGCCACTGCTCCAGCCCCGGAACCACGTGACTCCCGGAAACGGCAAGGCCGCCTCGGGGCTGCCCGCGGCGTTCGCCGGACCAGCTTCCCCGAAAAACGCCCTCCCTGACCCGGTCCTAGCCGTCCAGCTCAGGGCAGAAGTATTGTGAATGAGGGCGGAAATTACTGACCAGAATTAGAAGATCTGAAAAGCTCAGGATGTTTCCAAGAGACTCATGTTGCAGGCGTCTTTCAACAGGCCCTGATGATAAGGACCCGTTTGAACTCGCTCAACTTTATTAGTTCTCAGATGAGGAACATAGACAGAAGGGCGCTTGAGCCCCGTGGGTCTGTCACGTGGTTATGTTCCAGCTTTATATGTTATCTGTTTCCACAGCTACAGTCAATCTGATTCCTGTGTATTCCATCAGATGAGGTTAATGTACGCATGTTGTTGTTGTTATGTGCCGTCGAGTCGCTTGCGACTCATAGTGACCCTATGTACAACAGCCCTAAACTCCTGTGCCAATCGCACCATCTCCGATACACCCATCCCAATTGCCTCAGTCATTGAATCAATCCACCTCATACAGGGCATTCCCCTCCTGCGCTGTCCCCTCCACCTTACCAAGCATGATGTCCCTCTCCAAGGACCAGTCCCTCCTTACAACATGTCCAAAGTATGTTTGACGGAGCCTCAGAATCCTTGCCTCCAAGGAGCCGCCAGGTTGGACCCTTTCCAGGATGAATCTGTTTTCCTAGCAGTCCATGGTACCCTCAACACTCTTCTCCAGCACCACAGCTCAAAGGCATCAATTCTCCTTCTGTCCTCCTTAGTCATTGTCCAGCTCTCCGATGCATAACAAGTTATTGCAAAGACCATGGCCTGGATCAGATGCACCTTAGTCTCCAGAGAGACGCCATTGCTCTTGAGTACTTTGGAGAGGTCCCTAACAGCAGACTTTCCCATCGCAATACGTCTTCTAATTTCCTGGCTGCTGATGCTGTTGACTGTGGAGCCAAGCAAACTAAAGCTGTGAACAATTTCAATGTCCACCATCCATCCTGATGCTGCCAATTGGCTCAGTGGTGAGAATCTTTGTCTTCTTGATATTGAGCCTCAATCCGTATTGGAGGCTGCAGTCCTTGACCCTCTGCAGCAAGCGCTTCAGGTCCTCCTCACTTTCCGCAAGCAGGGTTGTGTGATCTGCATATCACAGATTGTTGATAGATCTTCCACCAGTCTTGACCCCACATTCATCCTCATAGAGCCTAGCCTCCCGGATAATCTGTTCTGCATACAGGTTGAAAAGGTATGGAGATAGGACACATCCCTGGCATACGCCCTTCCCAATTTTGAACCATGCAGTGTTCCCTTGCTCTATGCTGACGACTGCCTCCTGGTCCAAGTATAGGTTTTGCTTTAG